ATCATTCAACTCTCCCGTACTTCCCTGCATCCCATAACCATGACAACGGTGCGGCTGCCGGAGAACCCCCCTGCCGCAGGGATGCGCATGGCGGGGGGGACCCGGCGCCGTGCGGAGCGCCCCCGCGGCGCGAGGGTGCAGGAAGGGCCCTGGCGTCCGGCAAACTGCAGGAAACAGCCCGGAATAACGCGGGCTGGGGGGGCTTCCCCCCGGCTTGGGTGGGGGGCTGCTGGGGTGCCGGGGGAGCCCTGCTCGCCCCCGCCATGCTGTGGGTTTCTCCCGCGTTTTCTAAAAAAGGGGAAGCGAGCGGCGACTTCCGCAGCAGGGCCCCGCGCCGCCCCGGGCGGCTCTTCCCGGCCRGGCCGCGGCAGCCGGCACAGAGCCGGCTTTGTCCGCCCGGAGCAGCTGCCGCCTGGCACCCGCCGAGCCGCCCGGCCCTGCCGCTGCCCTCCCGCCGGGATCCTGCCCCAGGAGCCCTACGGAGCTCCCCAGTTTGCCCCGTACAAAATGGATTTAAGGGAGAAAAAGCAGGAGGGGAAGGGGCCCCGCAGCCCCCGCGCTCACCCGCTGCGGGCCCCCCGGCGCCCGCTCCTCGGGCAGCGGGATGCAGGAGCAGCAGCACATCCCGGCGCTGCCGCGGCYGCTCGCTCTGTGCCCAATTGTTCCCAGCCTCACATTGTTTCTTGTTTGGGTTGTTTTATTGTTTTGGGTTTTTTTTTTTTTTTGCTTTTATTTAATTTTCTTTTCTTGCCTTTGGGCCCTTCTTTGAAGGGAGGCGGCGCGGGCCGGGAGGAAAGGGCCGGAGTTCCTGCATCCCAGCGCGGAGCGCAGGAAACAAAACAGGCGGCGGAGACAAAGGCGGGAGGCGATTCCCCTTCCTGCCGCCAGCCCGCGGGAAGCGCCCTCGGACCCCCAGGAACGCGGGGCCAGCCGCGTGCGAACCCCCCTCGGCCTCGCGCCCAGGAACGGGCCAGCGGGAAGAGCCAGGGACCTGGCAGGGCACGGGGACGGCGTCGGGGGCCGCCCCGACACGGAGCCGCCTTTGTGCCGGGTGGCTCCGGGGCCACCGCGGCGCCTGATGCCACCAGCCGGACGCGGAGCCGGCAGCCCCGGGAGCAGCCGCCCCGCACGACGCCCCAGCACCGGGTCCGAAAACCCGCTGCCTGCACCACAAATAGACACCCGGAGGCGGGGGAAAACAGCGGGGTTCCACCGGCTTCGGGAAAAGGACCCCATTTTCCCTTGCACCCACTTCATGTGCGCAAAGYGAGCGGGAAAACCTGCAGGAAATGGGTATCTCAACCCCAAACCTGCCTCAAACCGTCCCCAGCGCCCAGTTGCAGGCGGGGAGCGGAAAGCCGGGCTCAAAATAGCAATTTCTGGGTGTTTTTTCAAGGCGCCGCCGTCGCGCTCGGCACGCCGCCCACTGCGGGCACGGTGCTGCCAGCGCGGCCCCGCTCCGAGGACCAAGATAGCTCCTTCCCTTTCCTGCCGCGAGCGGAGCGGAGCGGAGCGCGTCCCGCCGAGCCCAGTGACTCACGCGCCCGGGGGCGGCGGCGGCAGCACCCACCGGTTTCCCCCACCCAGGGGCCCTCGAAAGCGGAAGAGGCTCTGAAATCTTTCCCCCCTCTCCGGCACGTGGCATGGGACAGAGCCGGACTAAAATCCCAGCTCGCTCCAAGGGGACAGCTGGGATTCATGGATAACTGCCTGGGATTCACGGATAACTGCCTCCCCCTCCAGTGTCCCCTCTCCCAGYGCCACCGGCAGCCACCGGGCTGCTCATCACCTGCTGCCGGCGCATCCGCGGGTGCCACCAGGACGGTTTTCCCGCTGGGAACGATGCCTGAAAACTGACACCCCCCGTTCCCCCCGGCTCCGGGGGCCCGAATCTGCCCGGGCAGCAACAGCTGGCGGCAGCGGCCGCGCGAGCCGCTCCGGAGCCGCGGCCGGAGGGGGGAACGTGGCGGCTCTCCAGGCGCCTGGGATCCGTCACCCCTCCCAGCTGCCCAGCTGGAGGCCGCGGGAAGAGCCGATCCCGGCCGCCGGGGTGGGGCGAGAACGGCCCAAACTCGTGGCTTTTTTGCACAGAAACCGCCATTTCCCCCCGCGCGGCGGCTCCCCACCCGGCCAGGAAACCGCGGGGCGGCCGCGCCAGGGTGGAGGGGGGGCCCTTTTGCAGCCCCCCCTGCCAAACCCCAACCCACCAGGGCTGAGCGACCTCCCCAGGGACCCYGCTCAGACCCGGGCAACTCGGTGCATGCCAGGGCGCCTCCCCGCCCCCCAGACCCATGAGTGGTGGGGTGGCACAAAGCCTCCCCACTGGCTGTGTGACCCCAAGGGTGCCCAGAGCGTACAGGGCAAACGGAGGTGCAAGGAGGGGGACATGGGGAGGGGGCAGAGCCCGGCACCCGCCGCCACGTCCAGGGCACCCATCGCCATGTCCAAGGCACCCGTCGCCACGTCCAGGGGCCCGTCCCAGCGCGCGGCGCCGCTGGCGGGAGCACAAAGCCCTGCAGCGCCGGGGCGGGGGGCACCAGCTGGGCCCCCCACGGCCCTCCCTTCCCTGTTAACTCACCCCAACCCCCGGGGGGGCCGCGCTCCGGACACGCTGCCCTGGCCCCGTGCCCTTGTCCGGCCCGAGCGCGGCCGGAAACRGGGCCCTGGCCCCCCCCGGCCTCAGTTTCCCCAGCGCCCACCAGCCCTTTTTGTGTCCCCCCCTTCGCCCCCCCCCACCCGCCGCCAAGGGCTTTGTCTGCGCTCCGGGCGYCGCGAACAATAACCGGGGACTCCCGCCTGGCCCGGGGCAAGAGGGGGCAGCAAATCTGCCCCCCCTCCCCCGAAGGAAAGGGCGGGGGGGGGAACATTATTTATTTTGCTTTTCCCGTTTTCTACTAATGCCGCCCCCAAACGGCCCCAAGTTCGGCGTAAACAGGGAGGACGATTGAGGAAGTTGYAGATCCGCCCGGGAGGGAGAAGTTCCCCCCTCGCGCTGCTGCTGCCGGCCCGGCCGAGGGGGGTGTTTTTAGGGGGGGGGGTCCCGGAGGGGGGTCCCGCTTTGTTGTGCGCCGCACAATGGGGCGCGGGCCGAGCCGCTCGGGCGGCTTTTGTGAGCGGAAAGCGGCGCCGGGGGGAAAGAGGGGCGCTTTTTTTATTCCCTCTACACGTGGACGCAGCTAAAGGTTTCGGATCGGGGGGGGGGACCCAATTCCCAATCCGTCCCCCCCGCCACTATCGCGACCGGGGTGAAAATCGGCCCTTTCTCCATCCCCGCCCGCAGCGCCCGGACTCACCCCCGGCTCCGACTCGGCTCCCCCCGAAACTTTTCCTGCCTGGGCGGGGAGGGGCCGATCCAGCCCCCCCTCCGAGGCGCCGGTAACAAAGCGGGGAAGGAGGCGGCGGGGGGGGGAAGGGGGATGATGCAGGGGGCGGTTTAGGACAGAGCGACCCCGCGGGGCAGAGCCGGGCTGGGATGGGGAGGGGGAGAATTCACCGCCCTCCACGCGAGGGGGGAAACGCAACCCCCGAGGGGAGCGGAGCAGGGATTGGGGGGGCTGCACCCCCCGCATCCCGCCAAACAAGACAGGGGGCTGCGCGGGGGGGGGGGGGGTCCACGCAGACAACTGGAAGAGAAGGGGAGAAGGGGCGGGGGGTGCAGGCGCAGCGGCGGGAAGCGGCCCCGGGGGGGACAAGGGACACCCACCTTGGAGGCGCCCTCCTTGGCCCGCTCGCTCCGCGCCCGCGCCAGCGACTCGATGCGGGACATGGTGCGAGGAGCCGCCGCGGCTGCCGCCCCGTCCCGGCCCCGCCGCCGCCGCCGGCTCCTCCCCCGGGGCGGGTCGCGCCGCCGGCCCCGGCCTCGTGCGGCCCCGGGGCCCTTTGTTAGCGCGGGGGCCCGGGCCCGAGCGGGCGGAACCGGCGGCGGAACCGGCGGCGCGGGGAGGCCCCGGTTGCCGCCTCACCGGGAGCGGCTGCACCCCGGGCAGAGCCCCCCGGGCAGAGCCCCCGGCTTTGGCCCCCGGCGCCCCTGCGAATTTGGCCCKGCCACATGGGAACCGGCAGCCGGAGTTGCCCCGGGGACAGATCYGCTCAGGAACAGCCTCCCAGAGCCACCCCGAGGGCCCTTCCGTCCGTCCGTCCTTCCCCATCCCTTGCCTCAGTTTCCCCTCTCTGGAAGACAAGCCGCAGGTTAGGGACAGGCTCCCATGCCAAGGCCGGGATGGTGCCATCAGACCTGGACCCTCCCCATCACATCCTTGAAAACTGGTTAACAAACAGCCCCCCCGCATCGCGCAGCCCCCTCCAGGAGCCCCCGGCCCCTTCCCTSCAGCGGCGGCCCCGGCGCTGGCACCGCGGCTGTGGCGTGGGCGCCGCCGGGACGGTTTGTTTAAGCGCACCAAGATGCTGCCCGGGGCGCAGCCGCCCGCGCAGGCATCACTCCCGCCTGTGCTTCCTGCCGGGAGCTCCCGCGGAGCCGGGCGGCGGCAACGGCGAGCAACGCTCCCGGAGAATGGGAAAGGGCGGCGAGCGCATCGGGTGGAAAACGTGGCCACACCAAGGCAGCCAGGCCAGGCGTTGCTGAAGACGGCAAACGGAGCCACTTCTCCCAGCCACAGCCTCAGAAAGGAGCCGCTTTCTGTGCAAATGCTTTGGAAAAGAGCCAGCCCGTTTCCTCTGGAGGCAGAGGAGATCCCCACGGATGCCAAAAGTCCCAGGAAAGGGCACAGATCCTACAGATCTCATAGATCTCGCAGACGTGTGCTGTTAGAGCGCCCATGTGAGCAGCTCCCCGTCGATGGTTTAACGAGTAACTGCGGAAAAGCCACCGGCGCGGGAGGGAATCGGCGCGGCAGAGGCGGGCGCCGCGGGCGCCGGGCCGAGCGGCGGGTCAGGCAAATGTTTGCGTTGGAGCGAGCGCGGGGCCGGCGAGCGAGCGGGCCGGGCTCCGCGCCCCCCGCCCGCCAAACGGGGGGGTCCCGCTCCGGCGCACAGAGCCGGGATTGTTCCTGCCCCATCATCCCGGCCGAGCCCCACTCGGCCCCGCTGCGGAGCGGAGCCGAAGGCGCCGCCGTCCCGGATAACAATCCGGCCCTTGTTCGGGGCAGCGTCCATGGCTCGCCGGGAAGGAGGAGTCGGCGTTGCGGGCTCGGAGGGACGGAGCGGCCGGCGGCGCCGCGCGGCCCCCTCTTCCCGCGCCTGATGCAATCCCGCGTGCCCCGTCCGGCGGCAGCGCTCCGGCCCCAATTCCCAGCGCCAGCCCCGGCAAAGGAAGTCGCCCGCGGCACCGCGGCCCGTTTTGCACTTTGCCGGGGAAAAATAAATAAATAAATAGAGAAATAAGTAAATAAAAAATCAGTGCTCGGAAAAACGCCGGCAGCGGCGCCGGGAGAGGCGGGAGGATTTTCCAGCCCTGGCCACTGCCTGCAGCTGGCTGCTAATCCTGGCACGGATTACCCTGGGTGGGGATTATGGACACGGTTTTGGGGGGCTGTGTTGGCCCCCGCGCTGCTCTGGGGAGCTGGTGGCTGCAAAACCCTCTCCCATGTCAGGATTCTCCTCCTGCCATCCAGTTGCTCCATTGGCATTGGCACTGGCGGAGCCGGGAGCAGCAGGAGGACAGGGGGGACCCGGCACTGGCGGCAGGGACAGCCTGAGAGGTTTAACCCAGCAGCCTAATCCTGAATCCTGGCTGATCGGGAGCAGGACGGGCCCTGGCGTGAGGGCCTTGGAGCTTTCCAGGAAAAAAGCAGCCCCGTGGAAGCTGCACTGTGATCCTGGAGCCCCAGAAAGAGGGATTTTGCCATCTCTGCCCATGCTGACAGTGGGGGAAACTGAAGCACGGGACACACGTGGGTTTCGGTCACGAGCGGCGGCAGAAAAATGGGATGGAGGGCAGGATCCCTGTGGGAACGTGCAAGCTCTGCTGCCCTTCGGCAGGCCCCGGCGCGCGGCYGGGGCAGGAAGAGCTCCACTTCCGCGGGTGCCGGCTCGGTCTCCACCCCCTGGCCTCGCAGGGAACGGCCTCCCGCAGCATCCCCGGCCCCACAGCCGCTTCCCCAAGGATCCTGCACCTGGCGCATCCCACCTCTCCCTGTCCGGAGCGCAGAGGGAAGGCGCTGGGAAGAGGGAAGGCGAAGCCGGGCGGCGGTTTGGGAACAAGAGGCGTGAGCAGGGAGCAAAGCGCTGCCGAGAGCATCCGGAGCGAGCGCCGCGGCCCGCTCCGCGCCCGCCCGCTCCTACCTTGGACTTGCCCGTCATCCTGCGGATGAAGCTGAGGGTCCGGCGCAGGGGGGTCTCGTCCCGGCGCGGGCTCCCCGGCTCCGCGGCGGCCGCCAGCTGCCCGCAGCTCCCGGCGCCGAAGCTGCGGGAGACGCCGGCTGGAGCGCGGAGCGGGAGGAGCGCGGCCCCCCCGGCAGCTGCGCCGCGCACAGAGCCCTTTCTGTTCGCCCTTGCCCAGCCCGGATGCCTCCGGCGGGAGTCGGGAATACAGGGAGCCCCCTCCCTTCTTCCCGGCCGGCCTCGGCGCTGCCGGCACCGTGTGATCCCCGCGCTAACGAGCCGGGCTCGTTGCCCTAATGAGGATGGGAATGGGCTGTGACAGGCGCCGCGAGTGAAGTGTGTCGGGTCTCAGCCCGCGCGCGGGGAGGCCGAGAGCGGCCACGGCTTAACCTGCCGCTCACCACCCGGACACCTGGGCCCMTGGAGGGGACTGGTTCCCAACGGGAAGCTGAGGAATGGGGAGGTGGACRGAGGGGCTGGGGGGGCCGCCCTCGCCCCCACTTACCCGTTGGACAAGCTGAGCCGGGAGGCAAAGAGGGAAAATTCTGCAAAAGAGACACGGGGCAAATGAGGCGGGAGCCGCCGGAGCGGCCACCGCTCCTCGCTGGAGACCAGCAACAATTAATAAATAACCAGGAATAAATAATGGTTCCGTCTGGGGGCACTGTGAGGAGCCCTGGGAGGGGCAGCGCGTGCCGGGGACACCCGCGCTCACCGTCCGCCTCCGGGAAGCTGTCGATGCCGCTCAGGGACACGGACTTGCCGAGGCCGCAGCCTCCGGGGCTCGGCCGCTGCTGCTCGGCCTCCTGCAGCGCAGACGGGGGGCAGAGTGTGTGGGGGGGTCACCTGCCGCAGCCCCCCCCGGGTGGCACGAGGGTGGCCRGCAGGCAGCACAGGCTGCAGCGGCACCGCTCCGGATAACGCTCCGGATCGGGCTTAGCTGCCCGCTCCCCCCTACCCGCTTCCCGTCGTCCTCATCCTCGTCCTGCGAGAGCAGCGAGTCCAGGTCGTCGGTGCTGCGGGCGAGGGGTGCCCGGCGCGCGTCCCGCCGCGGCCCCGCGCCACCCAGGCCCGGCGCTTGGAAGCAGGAGCTGCGGCGGGCACAGGGGAGCTGGCGCTGCGGCGCCCGCAGGGTCCCCGAGCGCGGCCGGAGCATCCGCGCGGGGCAGGGGACGCTCCGGAGCGCGGGACGGYGCCGGCCGCTACCTGAGGTGCCCGTAGCCGGCGTCTCGGCGCAGCTCCCGGCCCGGCTCCCAGCTGTGGCGCCGGAAAGCGTCCCGGCAGCGCACGGAGTTGCGGAGCGCGCAGGCCCGCCGCAGCGGCACCCCACGCRCCTCCTCCTCCTCATCTTCCTCCTCCTCGTCCTCGCCCTCCTGCCAGGCCGGCTGCCGGGCACCGCYGCTCTCGGCACCTTCGTGGGCACCGGGGAAGACGCCGGCTCCGTTCATCCCGCACCRGGAGCCGGCGGCTGCGGGAGGGAAGGACGGCAGCGTCGGGAGCCGTTGGGTGCCCCTGCCCGGTCCCGGCAGGGACGGGGGCTCTGGTGCTGCCACGGTGCATGTAACGAGCCAGGGCGGCCTCAGCCGAGCTCAGCAGCCGCCTCCGGCTGTATTTACCCTGGTGCCGGCAGCGGGAAGCTGCAAAACCAGCCGGCACCGCGGGCTGAGCTTCCACCCCCGCCAGGTTACTKATTAACCCCCAGGAATTCGGCACCCAAGCGGCCGGCGCCGCAGCCGGGTCCGAGCGGCTCCCGGCCGGACTGGGCGCCGGGCTCCGCGTGGCCCATTCCCACGGACAGGCCGGGAAATGGGATGAGCTCAGGCGCTTTCCTGTTTTTACGCACCCGGCCCAATCAGCTGATAGAAAACAACCCGGCCGGACCGGGATGAGCCACTGCTTTTTCCATAAATCCGGAGGCGAGCAAGTACAGAGGTGCAGAGAGCAAGGAAGGATGAGGAGGGGTTGAGGGGATGAAGGCCCCGCACTGCYCCCCTGCACCTGGGGAGCCGCCCTGTGCCCGGCCGGCGGCTCCCGGATGCGGCCAGGTGTGTCCGGCCGTGTCCCGGCCGGCAACGCCCGCGCTCCTGGAGGAGCACGGGGCCGCGCGGCGCCACACCTCGCCCTTCCTCACCCTCCTCATCCTCCTCGCCCTCCTCATCCTCCTCGCCCTCTGCTCCGGCCACCACGACACGGGAGCCCACGGTGACATCCCCACCGGGGGCCTGCCTCTCATCGCCGCTCGTGGGAGCCCCAAACTTGCCGCTTTTTGCCCCAAGGAGCCAAACGGGCGCGTTAGGGGGCTGGGTGGTCCTCAGAGCCCACGGTTGCTCTTCCAGCCCGGGGACGGCGCYGGCCGCAGGGCAGCGAACGGCGTCACGGGATCACGGATCACGTTTCCCGCTCCCGCTTTGTCGGCTCCCGCTCCGGCACAAGGGGACGGCGGAGGGCTCGTGCTGGCCCCGGTGCCCGGCACGGGGAGGTGACGGCGACAGGGAGAAGGGCTGGGGGGCAGCAACGTCACCCCCCTGTCACTGCCCCAAGGTGGCTCTTTGGCTCCGTGCTGAGAACGGGCCCGCTCATCACAGCAGCTGCCCCCATCTAACGTGCACAGAGGGGCTGGGACCCGGTGGGGGGGTACGGGGCCAAATGAGGCTGTTTGGACCCCACGGGCCGGATGGGGGGGCAGAGCCGGAGCAGGGAGTTCACACCGGGCGCCCGGCCCAACCCCTGCGGAGCCACTGCTCCATCCGGACGCGGAGCCGGGAGGGACCGGAGCCGGCGGAGCCGCTCGCCCGGCGCTTCCTACCTGCTGCCGGGTCTGCCCCGCGCGCGGCCGATGGATGTGGGTGCCGGCCCCGCTCCGGGCGCTCTCCTCCCCCTCCGCCCGGCGCACAAAATAAACCAGGAACCACGGGGCAAATCAGAGCCTCGGCCCTGTTAACCCTTTGCCCTGCCCGCCGGGATCCTGCCCGCGGGCGGCAGACGCTGCGTGGCCCTGCGCGCCCCCGGCTGCCCCTTGCCCCCTTCCCTGCTTGGCTCCGGGCTCCTTTCCTCCCGCTCCAGCAGGATCTGGGGCAGGACCAGCCCCAGGCTCCCCCTCGCCCCTTTCCAGCTAGCCCCAGGCGCCTGGGATTCATTCCCAAGGCTGCGTGCAGAGAGCAGCGGGATCCCACGGCCCAGGACACAGCTCCGTGTCCCATCCCAACTTCCCTTTTCCAACCGTGGGCATCAGCTCAGGGCCGAGTTTTGGCACCGGGAACCGGGGGCACCAGCCCGGCCCGGGGCAGCGCTGCCCGCGGAGGTGACTCAGGGCGCRGGTAACGTCACCGCGTCCCGCGCTGGCCCTGGGGACGCGGTAGCCACCGTGGGGGGCACGCAGCGGAGCGGCACCGGGCACCCCGCGCCCGCCTGATCCCCACGCGCCCCCAGCGCCACGGGGCGTTTGTTCGAGGTGTCCCCGCTCGGCGGCACGCGCGGCTCCAGTTCAGCGCAGGCGAGAGCAGCGGCAGCGCCCGCAGCTCTCCTCKCCCCAGGAATGGGTGCCCGCGGGACCTTTGTGCGGCAGCGCGGTGCCAGGGGCGCGCCCGGAGCGCACGCCCAGCGCCGCGATAAACAGCACCGGAAGGGTTGCGGAACAAACTCCAAGGTTTTGCAGGCGCTCCGGGGTGACTGGGGAGGTCCCGGAGCCCCTGGGCTATCCAGGATCCAAGATAATTCCTACATTTCAATCGGTTTCCCAGCAAAATCCACCCCCAGCTGCTCCTGCAAACGCGCCGCCCAGAGCAGCGTTTAGGCAAGAGGCACCCGGCTCCTTCCCTGTCTCCACTCTGTCCCGCTGCAGATGCCGGGGCAGACAGAGCCATYGGCCCTACCTCAACTCACAGGGACGCTCCGTGTCCGGCACATCCAGGGAGAAGCCATTGGACCTGCCGGAGCAGCCGCCCAAGCCCGCTCCTCGGGAGCGCTCGGCCACCGTCCCCCAAGGCCGCGCGCAGCGAGGGCCGGGATGAGGGCGTGAGGAATCCCAGCGTGGAAACAATGTCCTGGGAACAAAGGCGCAGTGTTCCCYGCGGCCCGGAGCCACCAACACGGATTGCTCGGCTGCCACCGCGCGGGGTCCGGCACCCGGCGCTCGACACGGCCCCTTCAGGGGCTGTGAAACGGGTCCAAAGYGACTCCTGCTGCCCACCCTGCCCTGCCAGCTATTCCACCGGCTGGGGCTTCCCCGACGGATCTGCTCGGAGGGAGGGCAAGGGGGGTGCCCAGGAAAGCGCTGGGGTATTTTCAAGTGCGTGCCTTGAACRCGTGGTGAGCCCAGCAGCCGCTCCGGGCAGCGGCCCTGCCGCCAGGGCCTCCCTAGGAACAGGAACCTTGGAAAACGCCAGGAACCCTGGCAAAAGCAGCCTTTTTGTGGTGGTCGTTTTATTACAAAACCCTCCGTAYCTCCTCACGCCTCCACCGAGCGAGCAGGAAAAGGAGACCGGGGATTAAGCACCCAGGGAAAGGAGCGGGGYGGCGAGGGAGCCTCGSCGCGGCCGCAGCTCCGCGGAGCCCCCGCGGGAAGGGGTCACTGTCRCCAGGCAGAGCTTGAGCCCCCGGGTGCTTCCACAGGCATGGAAGCGCGTGGAAGGGGAGGGATCCGGTGCGGAATTTAGGGAGTCGAGAGGACGGGAGCAAGCTGCGACGCGCCTGCATTGGAGGAGGCCGCCGAGCCGGCCGATGCCGGGCTGGCCCCAGCCGATGCCAGGCCAATCTCCAGCTGATCCAGCYGGGGGCTGCGTGTTTTTAGGGAGAAGGCAACGGCGGCACAGCGGTGGGAACAGGCGGTGCCGAGCTCGGCACAGCCAGAGCCTCGGGGCCGGTTGTTGCTGCCCCAACACAGCTGCTGTCCCCGCGGCGCCGGGCTGCTCTCCGCCGTCTCTGCTCAGTTCTTCTTGGGCTTGGGGCTGTCGTACTTGCGCTTGCTCGAGTACCAGAGCAGCAGCGGGATGCCGATGGAGGGCAGGGTCATGACGCCGAACGCCGCCCAGTCCAGCTGCGGGGAGCGACAGGAAGGGAGTCAGGGCTGATCCCACGGGGCCGAGCGCTGGCACCACGAGACCTGCCACCCGCAGAGTGGGCGGTGACGCAGGCACAGCCGGACAGCGCCGCGGGCCCCCGGCGGGGAGACACTCACRAAGTGAGGAGAGAAGCGCCGGTCGAACTCGCGCTGAGCCAGGATTCCTCCTTGCCCGGGGGCACTGGTGAAACCAACCTGGAAACGGGAGCAGGGGCTGGTCCTCATGCCCTTGCCGCAGCACACGGACACGCAGCACCCACTGATGGGCAGCCCAGGGACCAGAGAGCCCCGTTCCTGCTGCCCCGCGGGGCTGGGGTCCCGGGCAGCCGAGCAGAGACACTCACCACAACYTGCCCACCCTCCTGCGCCAGGTACGTGATGGTGGCAGAAGTGAAGTTGAAGTAACCGGCCTTGAGAGGCCGCAGAACCACCGTGTGCGACACATTGCTGGCCCTGCGAGCCCCAAGTTAAGGAAAACGGTTCTGTTTTACCTCCTGCAATGAAGCACAGGACTCGAGACAGCTCCAGTCAGCCGAGGTGACAGATCCGAGCCCTCAACAGCTGCAGATGCCCAAACCCACCCAAATCCACTCCCTCTTTCCCAGCCACGTGAATTGGATGTTGCTCTGACACTCTTTGCACGGAATTTTTACACGGCACCTTCATGGAGAGGCGAGGTTGGCGTCCAAGCCCTCGGCCAGGGTACAGGGAACTGGAGCTCCAGTGACAGGGAACAAACCCAGGAGAGCTCCGGGTTGTTCGGGAATAAGAGCGTCAGAAAATCATTTCATAACATGAAAAGATACGGAGCGATCCTGTCCCATTTGACATTGAGCATCCCAGAGACGATGCCAAAGTCCTCCGGGGGAAAGGAATCATCCGACAGCTCCACATCCAGGGCAGCGCTGAAAGCAACACACGGATGAGAGGAGAGTCTCAGACCGGAGCTCTACTCATCGGGAGCTGCACCACAGAGTGATGACAGGTCCGGAGAGGCTGGAATTGGCTTTTGGAACATGGACTTTCAGAAAAAAACACCAAGAGGGGGAGGAGAGACGAAAGGTGTTGAAAGGAGGTGGCATGGCAGGCAGGAGGTGGCACAAAGGGGCAGGCAAAGCTCAGGGAAGCAGCAGGAAAGGGGAGGAAGCGGATGCACGAGGAGCATCCCGAGCAGCGGGGCGGGAATGCCCTCGGAGGCCGCCSGTCCCCGGCGCACGGAGCCCCACCTGGAGCCCACGTTGTAGATGTTGTACTGCAGGGTCAGGTCCTTGCCCTCCACCGCGTATCTGTTGAGCAGCGACTTGGAGGCCAGCAGCCTGGCGCCCTCCTCCGCGCCGCCCGCGCCGACCAGGGCCAGCAGCGCGAGAAGCAGGAGCTTCATCTAGAAGCAGCGGGAAACGGAGGGTCCTCGGTGGATCCATGGCAAAGGGAACCCAAAGGGCCCGGGCAAAGGCAGCGCCACCGCTGTGTGTGCCAGCTCCCGCGGCCCTCCCTGCCCAGGGCCCTGCTCCCTCCGGAGCACCGGCGCATTCCCAGCGCATTCCCAGCGCATTCCCAGCGCATTCCCAGCCTGCAGCTCCTCCCAGCTCCCTCCAGCTCCGCAGAGCTCCCTGCTCCAGGCCACGTGTCCCGCTCCCAGCCCGTCCCCGCGGCACCCGGGGCCTCCTCAGCCCCGTTCTCCACACGCAGCCGACACGCAGCAGCCTCCGCTCCCGGGGACGCTGCCTGCCCTCCCAGGCCGCCCGCTTCCCGCCTCACGTTGCCCGCCCCGGCGGCTCCTGCCCCCCACGGCTGCCCCAGGCAGCCCCCCCCCCCGCCCCCAGCCCTAGGGGACCCCCCTGCCCCACAGGGCAGACACCCCCCAAGGCCCCTCATGCCGTCCAGGCTCTCCCCACCCCAAAGACCCCCCGTGACCCTCCCCACGGGCTCCCCTGCCCCACAGACCCGCGACCCTCGGGCCCCCCTCGCGCCCGCAGCCCCTCCGCGAAGCCCCGCGACCCCCGGGCCCCCCTCATCACCTCGTCCCGCTGCCCGCGGAAGGCCGAGTCAGCACAGACCCCGCGGACCGGAAGGAGCCGCGCGGCCCTCTGGGAAATGTAGTCCGGCCCGGGACTCCGCGCGTGCGCAGAGGCGCGCCCCCCCGCCCCCGCGCCGGGTCCGGTTTGGGGGCAGCAGCGGCGGCAAAACACGAGGTTTTAGCGCAGAGAAAAAAAAAAAAAAAAAAAAAAAGAAAAAAAAACACGGAAACACGGGGGGAGGGCGGCAGGACGGAGGTGGGCACGGGGACGCGGCCGAGGGAGGACGGGAGCAGGGTGATGTCCCCCGCACGCAGCATCGGCGCCGCCGGACGCCGCTTTGGGACACCTTCGTGCGTTTGGGCCGCTCTTGTCTCGCACCAGAGGCTCCACCTTTCTGTTTCCGACAGATCAGGATCAGAAACGACCTCCCTGCTGCAAAAATAGTTATGCAGAGGCAAAGCTGCCAGCTCCGCTTCCAGGAAGAAGCCTTGGGAGGGCCCTGCAGACCCGTGGTGGAAGAAGGGCAGGGGAAGCTCCCTGGATCCTGGAGAAGCTCCCCGGATCAGTGGAGCCTCCTCAAAGCCACCTCTCCGTGTGCATGCTCCCTGTCACGCGTGCACACAAATAAGCACCCCTTGAAGCCGCCTCCGCAGGGGCCGCCCCGCCGCAGGCTCCAGGGCCCTCCTCACAGTTTCTTTCACCCAGGACTCCCGCTCTYGGCCTTTGGCTACAGCCCCTCCATACATCTGGTTTCTTTCCCCTGTGATCCAGGACAATAACAGAGCAGGAGACCGGGAATGAGCGATCCTGACACCAGGCAGAGCTCGGCAGAAGCACGGGCTACAGGAAACGCCTCAGGGCTCCAGTCAGAGCCGGCCTCTCACCACAGCGACAGGGGAAGGCGAAACTCGCATGGAGGCGGGAGATTCACCAGCGGGGGCTGCTGAAGCGCCGCGAAACCCCAGACCCGCTGGGCTAAAACGCTTCAGGTTTTCCACAGGGCTGTGAATTCCCCTGGGGGATTTTCCTCCTCCGTGGCTCCCCAGGAGCTGAAAGGCACCGGTAACTGTGTGGGGGGGGGGGGCACAGTGGCGGGTTCCCCGATGAAGCAGCTCGAGACGGAGCTGAGGGCCCGGGAGGACCCGCAGCCCCGGGGATCTCGAGGCCACCCGGCGCCTCACGGGGCGCGAACTACCGCTCCCAGCATGCCCCGCGGGGGCGAGACCACGGCCGTTAAGGAAGGCGGGGGTGCGGGTTGGCGTTGAGGGCTTCATTTCCACGCGCGGCTCTTCGAGACCGCCTCTCTCCTTCCTCTCTCGCCTATAATTCTGCTCTGCCTCGTCCCAATGCCCGCCAGGCGCGATGAAGAACGCAGAACCAGCGCCACCCCCATGAGCCCTAATGGATGCGCCGAGCTCTTGCGCATGCGCAGCGCGCGCCCCCGCCCGCTCGGCGCGTGCGGCAGGCGCATGCGCAGTGCCGCCCGGCCCAGCCCTGCCGCTACACGCGCTGAGGCACCGCTTCTCAACCGAACTTGCTTGAGCGTTCCGGGGAAAGGCGGGGCAAAGAGATTCCGCCTTCCCATTGGGCGGCGCGCCGGCGGCGCGGGCGCTGATTGGCGGGAGGAGGGCAGGGCGTAGCGGCGCGGCGAAGTGGCACTCGTCGGCGCGGCCGCCTCGCGCTCGCCTCTCCAGAACGTTCCGCGCCGGCCGCCGCCGCCGCCACCATGATGGGCCCGCGCCCCGTGCTCGTTCTCAGTGAGTCCCGCCCAGGGGGCCCGCGCTGCCCCCGCGGCGGGAGCTTTTGGGGGGGGGGGTCTCCTTTTTGCCCCCCCTCCCGCCGCCATGTTGGGGCCCCGCAGCGGCCGCCGCTGCCCTGCCCGCCCCGGCGGCTTCCCGCCGCTCTCGTACCCCGCAGCGCTCCTAGCCGCCCGTCGGGGGCTGCAGGCCGCTCCGCAGGCGTCTGCGGCGCCTTCGGGATCCCGGGAAATCACGGCTCTGCGGTGGGCTCTGGGTCGTGTTCTGGGTGTGCCGAGTTTTGTCCGGGTTAAATTATGCCAATGACCAGGAATTCTTTCSTTCAGGTTTTCATTAATAATTTTCTGCTAATACTCTTCCTCATTCTGGTAGTTGTTTATATCTCCTAAAGCCTTCCTTGAGGATTTATAATCCCAGATCCTCTGTGTGTGTGACTGGGGTGGTGTCTCTGATGCGTTGTCAGCGTCGGTGCCTCAGTTGGGTTTCTAGAAAAATCACATTTCASGTATACCCACATTGTTACTGTCTTTTATTTTCCTGTGTGCTTTAGGTCAGAATATGAAACGTGAGTCTGGGAGAAAAGTCCAGACTGGGAACATCACTGCTGCTAAGGTACTGTATGGTTATGCCAATAAATTTAAGTGGGGAAAATAGWTTTGGAGGGTTTTTCCATAGTCTAGAGCCTAGAAATAAATGATTCTAGAGCGTTGAAAGGAATTTACAATGTTAAAAATATTCCTCCTTTGTGTATTTGTTTCTTTTYTCTTAGACTATTGCTGACATCATCCGAACGTGTTTAGGACCAAGAGCAATGATGAAGGTGAGAGCTGCTAAAATTCCTGTGCCCTGCAGGGCTAGAAACACGGCACGTGCCGCAGGACACTGCAAATATTTCTCCTCTTCTGTCACAGATGCTTTTGGATCCCATGGGTGGGATCGTGATGACCAACGATGGCAATGCTATTCTTAGAGAGGTAGGTTTCTCCTGGAGGATTTTGTCTGAAATATTTGCTAGAGCTGGGTGGAATCCCTTYGACTGTGTAAAAGCTCCGGTGCTTGTTCCGTTCCACAGAGTAATACAAAAAAAAGTTATTAWTTTTTTTGGATGAAAAACCTCTTTCCCTCCCCTGTAGATTCAGGTCCAGCACCCAGCTGCAAAATCCATGATTGAGATCAGCCGCACTCAGGATGAAGAAGTTGGAGATGGGACCACGTCTGTAATTATTCTTGGTAAGAAGAGTGACTAAGATGGGAGCTTTTATTAAGGGGTAAGGCTGAAGTTTGTCCTGTTTCAGGCGAGTTTAATGACTGCGTCTGATAGCGGATATTTCTGATTAATATGGTTCTGCTTCTTGGTCAAGCAGTGTTACCTACTTTGTCCTCTGAGCAATTAGCAGCAAAACTTTCYGCTTTTGCTCCTGGGTCTCTGATTAGACACACAGCACTTGCACTGAAGGTTATGTCCTCTGACCTACCTGCTAGTTCTGTTTTTCCCCTCACTTCCCACCTGTGTTTGCTCCTGAGAAGTCAGAGTGTTTGATGAGCCAGATGGCTGTGATTTCGCTACCCTACAATATTTCTAACAAAAAAMCAAACATTAAGGGTTTCAGAGCTGTCTGCTTTGGTGGGGAGGCTGTATTCTTTCCCCCAGTTAAGCACAGTTTACAAAGAAACGTATGGATTTCATTTGAAAGCCTTATGGAAGACGTATCTGTGCATCACAAACACTCTGCAGCGATAGCAAATACGTTTTGTTCACGATGTTGTCACGATGCTAACGCATCTGGGGGCTTCGATGTTTGTTTAGCTGGGGAGATGCTCTCTGTGGCCGAACACTTCCTCGAACAGCAGATGCACCCGACTGTGATCATTGGGGCTTATCGGAAGGCCCTGGATGACATGATCAGTATTCTGAAGAAAATCGGGTGAGTTCGGGCTGCGGGAGGTGGAGGAAAGGGCATGGGGTTTTTTAGTGCTTAAAAATGAATCTTCAGGGAAACACACGAGTGAAATATAATTAAATGTAATTAGAGAAGGCTGAAATGGAATTATGACTAGATTGTAGCTTGGAGTAATATTCAATTTACTGCTTCTTCTCGTCTCAGCACTCCAGTGGACGTGAACAACAGAGAGATGATGCTTAAAATAATAAAGAGTGCTATAAACACCAAGGCGATAAACCGCTGGTCTGACCTGGCCTGCAGCATCGCTCTCGACGCCGTCAAGACGGTGGAGTTTGAGGAAAATGGCAGAAGGGAAATTGATATCAAGAAATATGCCAAAGTAGAAAAGGTGAATGTGTCCTGGACCGTTCCTTGTCTGTCTGTCCTCCCTTATTTCAAAGTGTTTCTGTCGAGGATACATGTTAGAACGTGCAGCCTGCAAACCCAGGAGGGATACACGTGTTCCCCTGGAGTGGAATAACTCACCTGGTTTCCCCGCTGCTTCCCCCTTTCTTGTGTCAGATTCCGGGTGGTTTTAGTGAAGACTCGTGTGTTTTGCGTGGCATCATGGTGAACAAAGATGTGACCCATCCCAGGATGCGGCGCCTTATCAAGAATCCCCGCATCGTCCTTCTGGATTGCTCCCTAGAGTACAAGAAAGGGGAGAGTCAGGTAAGGCAAGTCCTGTTAGAGATATTTGCARCCCATAAAACCAGTAAAGTGAACAGATTCACGAGCAGCTCGAGTGACAGACCATGGTCTCGGTCTCTTTTGGGGGCAAAATCTCTCTGCAGTACTGAGCCCCCAGCAGAGTTAGCCTAAAAGATCAATTCGGATCACTCAAGCTGGGGGAATCCCTGTTTAAGCCAGTGCAGGATTGCGGGGAGAGCATTCGGATTTTGACCCCTCTTTCTACGCAGACCGATATCGAAATCACTCGGGAGGAAGACTTCGCCCGCATCCTGCAGATGGAGGAAGAGTATATCCAGCAGATCTGCGAGGATCTGATCCGAGTCAAGCCGGACCTGGTCATCACGGAGAAAGGAATCTCCGGTAATAACATTTGTGATTCTTATTTGCACGAGCTCACAGTTAATGAGGTTGGTTCTGTGCTAACATGCACTGTCTAATGATTAAAAGAGACTTTGATTATGACCCCGCTTCTCCCTAGAAAACAGTTGTACGCCCCGGGTGCAGCTGAGCCTAGCAGACCGTAACAGCCTGCACTGGAATTTTGCCGTGCAGCTTGGCTAGAGCAGCAATGATGAGGGGTTTCCACGGCCCGTGACGGGTCTCTAAAGCAGTAACGTGCTCATAACAGCGCTGCTGTTTCCTCCCTGACGTTGCCCAAACCTGCTTTCAGACTTGGCGCAGCACTACCTGATGAAAGCCAACGTCACGGCGATCCGCAGGGTGAGGAAGACGGACAACAACAGGATCGCCAGGTACCTCTTCCCTCCTCCTCGGAGTGGGGCCGTTGCCGCCGTTGTTCGCTGGTACCTCAGCCTCTGCGGGCTGTTAGCGGGTGTTTGTCCTGGGGACGCTCGGACGCCCCGTTGGCTTCGGGAGCAGCTGGCGAGCGCTGTGTGTGCAGGGCCTGCGGGGCTCGCATCGTGAGCCGCACGGACGAGCTGCGGGAGGAGGATGTGGGGACCGGAGCCAGGCTCTTCGAAGTGAAAAAAATTGGAGATGAGTATTTTGCCTTCATCACGGACTGCAAGGACCCYAAGGCCTGCACCATCATGCTGCGCGGAGCCAGCAAGGAGATCCTCGCAGTAAGTTGTTCCGTGGCCGCCTTTCCCACCCGGCCGCGCTTCCATGCGGGAGCTGCCGCACGAGGGGCGCGGGCGCCGGATTCCCTGGGGTTTCGCAGGGGGCTTCGGAGCGGCCGAGTGCCGGTGGCCGCTAGCCCCGTCCCGCTCTGTGTGTGCCAGGAGGTGGAGCGCAACCTGCAGGACGCCATGCAGGTCTGTCGCAACGTGCTCATCGACCCGCAGCTGGTGCCCGGAGGGGGGGCCACCGAGATGGCCGTGGCCCACGCGCTCACCGAGAAGTCCAAGGGCATGACGGGYGTGGAGCAGTGGCCCTACCGGGCAGTAGCCCAGGCGCTGGAAGTCATTCCCAGAACGCTGATCCAGAACTGCGGAGCCAGTACCATCCGCGTGCTGACCTCGCTCAGGGTAAGGCGCCTGTCTCGGGGTCCTCCCGAGGGACRGGGCCTCCTTCTGCCCTCCCCAGCCCTCAGATCCGTCGGGGTTTGTCGCAGCTTCTGCTCCGCAGGATGCTGCCTTTTCATAGTTACAACAGGCCTTTTTACACTAAAGGAAACCTTTTGGAATGACCGTACCTGCTGATGGTGATGGGAAGAATGGGGCTTGRGGTGGTTCTTGTGTATGAGCTGGACTACCGCCTTTTAACTGAACTTTTGTGCCAAAACGGGAAAATAGGAAAGGGGAATGGTGTAGCTGGATTGATACCTGGTGTAGCTGGATTGATGGTGATGGGAAGAATGGGGCTTGGGGTGGTTCTTGTGTATGAGCTGGGCTTGTATGTATGTATGAGCTTGAGCCTTTTAACTGAACTTTTGTGCCAAAACAGGAAAGGGGAATGGCGTAGCTGGATTGATACCTCTGTTAAAATTTGAAGGCCAACAAAATCAAAGTCTTTAATGTTGAGATTAGGTTGGGAGGTGCGAGATGGAAGGGGTTGACCTGGTGCTCTGGGGCAGATAGTTTGGTATAAGCTCCCCAGCTGAGAACACCGACGATGTCTTCCCCGTCGGGCAGCGCGTGAAGGGCTCGAGCTGCCCGAGCTGCCTTTGGTGTCCGAGCTCGGCCGGCGCCGCCCTTGGGCTAACGTTGTGCTCCGTCCCCAGGCCAAGCACACGCAGGAGGGCAGCCAGACGTGGGGCGTGAACGGCGAGAGCGGCGCCCTGGTGGACATGAAGGAGCTGGGCGTCTGGGAGCCCCTGGCCGTCAAGCTGCAGACCTACAAGACGGCCGTGGAGGTGAGGGAGCCCCGCGGCGCCGCGCCGCCCGGCCCGGCCCCGCGCCGCCTCTCACCCGCTCCTTCTTCCCCAGACCGCTGTCCTCCTCCTCCGCATCGATGACATCGTCTCGGGGCACAAAAAGAAAGGCGACGACGGCAGCAAGCAGCCGGCAGCTCCCGAGGCAGCCCAGGAGTAGCGGGAGCTGCGGGAGGAGCTCAGCCGCGCGGAGCAGCTTCCGAGGGGGGAATATCCAGGAATTTGTTGGTCTGCAGCCTGGAGCGGGGAGAGGAGAAGCGCCGTGAGGGTGGCACCAAGAGCTTGTGTCCCTCCGTGCCCCTCTCTGTGGCGGCACTGATGGTTAATTTAAGTCTAGGCTGTCGAAGCCGAGACCGGTTACAATAAAAACACGTCACCCCAGGCCGCTTGTGCCGTGTTTGTGACAGGGAGGACAGGGGAGCTGCTCCCTGCTCCGCTCGCACCTGGGGTCACCAGGCAGGAGCTGGGAGAGAGGGAAGGCAGCGGGAGGAGCCGGAGGGACTGGACAGCCGCGGGGCTGCTCCTGCTGCTGCCGGGACAAGCGGCCGCATCCCTGCATGTGGCAGGGACAAAGGGGAGCTGAGCAGGGGGGAAAGGAGCAGGGGCTGCGAGGGATGGAGGGAGCCGAGGGGCAGGAGCAGCGGGCCGGGGAGGCGGCTGCTTTTCCCTGCTGGAAGTTGCTGCCGCTCCATGAAATCCTCCCCCTTTACCACACCCCCCCCCCCCCCAATTGTTTTCAAGAGACGGCGGCTCCTTTAAGGCCTGCGGGGTGGGGGGAGCGGGGGGCAAGGCGCGGTGCGGTCACGTGAGCAGTGCGGTCACGTGAGCGGCGCTTGCAACAGGGCGGCCACGGGAGTCATGTGGCGGCTGCTGCTGCTGGCGGCGGCGGCGGGCGGCGTCCGGCGGGAGGTGCGACCGGGACCGGAACCGGAACCGGGACCGAGCCGGGGAGGGAGCCCGGGGGCTGTGGGGCCGGGGGCTGGCGCCGGGAGGAGGAGCCCCGCGATCCGAACCGGCACCGGGGGGTGCGGGGAGCCCCGGCACCGGGAGACGGGAGGAGTCCTGGGGCTGCGGGGCGCGGGCAGCGGTACCGGCACTGGCAGGGGGAGCCCCGGGACGGGCAGCGGGCCTGGGGGGAGCCCCGGGCTCGGGGCTGGGCCGGGAGCAGAGCCGCGGATCCAGGCGGCACCGGCGGCCTCGCGGTACCGGGGGCCGCGGGGCCGGCGCAGGGGCCGCAGCCGCAGGGCC